TCATACTTAAGGAAATAAGTTGGTGAGGGTTAGTGTAACTAAAGATGCAACAATAGAATGCTTTCATGCTCTTGAAACAATACTCAATTTACAAATCCTCCCATAACCCACTGGCTCAAATTCGCACTAAAGTGTAAATGGTTGTCCCAGGCCCTTTCCTCAGAGTAGATAGGGCAGTGGTGATAGTGGGACCAAACACGAGGGCACTGAGCGCTAGGAATCAAATAGAGGGAAAAGACATGCCACGAAAATGGGGAACCAACACAGGCAGGATAAGACCCTGTTAGCAAAGTGAATTTCCTCCATGTCACGTATGACTGGGCTGTAAGGAACTGTCATCGACAATTTTTCTGCTTCCTGGATGTCTGGCCCTGTGCTCTCCAGAATCAACAAGCAGGTTTGGCCCTTTAATTTCTTTGAGGCTTCCCCTGATTGCTCATTAAAAGTAACCATTGGGTCCTAGTGAATTGATTGACTTCGCCCCAGTCCTCCAAGGACCCTACAGATCAAAAGGTGTCTAGCAAAGTGCTTTTAAAAATGCTGACACCAGTCCTGGCTGCTGAGGGCTGGGCGCCGGGCCCCTGCTCCAGGGGGATGCTGACTCGCAGAGCAAAACCAATGTGAGGGACACAGCAGAAGGCTCCTGAATTTAGGTGGTTGTTTGTTTTCTGTATGTCTATAGAGACATGTGAAATGGGATAGTCATTCCCTTTTCAAAACAAGAATACGAAATGTAAAACTCTGTTCAATAAATACAACAAAGATGAAAAAGACATCAATTCCGCAGAGGGGAAGAGAAAAACCAGATCGATAGAGAAAGGAGGGTAGAAGAAATAAGCAAGCACACCTGAGGGGGAAATGGGCAGGAAGGTAGTATAGAGAGGGAAACCCCAATACTCACCAAACCTTCAAAGGAAAGCTTATCTCACTTACTAATCCTGCCCTGCCTGGAAAATAAACCACCCAGCAGATCAAAAGTGTGGATAAACATTGTAGCATTTGTTATTCAGAAAGCATTCACATTTCTATCTAAGGTCTGAAGCCTCTGTTCCTCATTTATGCAAGAAGAAAATCTCCTACTCCCTGTTCCTGAAAACAGCAAGTGTCAAATTTCATTTCTCAGAGACCAAAGTCTCCTACAGTTCTAGAGTAACATCTCTCATGTGGCCTTTAGGCCCATTGTGCCTAAAGATGTTTCAAGTCCTGTTGCGTTTTCGCACCCGTAGGCATAAGTGACACCTGGTGTCGGTGTTGCCCTCCAGGTGGACGAACTAAGGCAGGGGCAGGTGGACCTGTGGGGCAGGTGGAGTTAGCAGGTCCTGCTGAGCCTGTGAGAGACAGGCCAACTCAGAAGCCTTGGAGCAGAGTCCCTGGGGGTGGGGGGGCCACAGGATCCAGCAAACAGGAAGTAGGGGCTTCTCCCTGTGTTCCTTTACCCACAGCCCACCATCAGGGCCTTGGGACAATGTCATTCAGGGCCTGTCTCTGTTGTCAAGGATCAGCAAGCACCTTCAAACACCTTTATCCTACCCAGCAGCCTCAGTGAGCTGAGGACGGGCAGACAGACAGGCTAGTTCGCATGAAACTTTGGAATCCTCTGAAAATAAAGACGTGCAGACAACTTCAGGACGGGATTTTTTCCCTAAATCCCTGACCCAGCCTGACTGCCAAGAGTGATATTGGCAAGGAAGGAAGAAGGATACAAGTTGCCTCGGATTTAGGCCATCCTTGTTTCCAAATGATTGAACGATGGGAGAGACGGAGGGTTTGGGTCGAAGGGTCAAAAGCCCACAAACATCCATCCAGCTCTGCCCCAGGGGCTGTGGATGTAAAGATGTGTAAGGGAGTCAGGCCCGTGGAGCCCACAGTCAGCAACTGGGGTCATTAACATCCACTTCCACGCACGGGAGTGCCCACTTCCAGGAAGACAAGGCACCGAGTGTCGGTTCTCTACTCATCACAAGCACCTGGCAAGCTGGGTTTGACTATATTCCCATTTCACAGCTGTGAAAACTGAGGCGGCCACAGGCAGACCACGAAGACCCGGGTCTCCCTGCGTGAGCGCTTTCCACTCGGGGGACACCAAGAGGGAGAGGAGGGCCCTCAGGGATGGGCATTTCCAGGAGCATTGCAGGGTAACGGATTTAGGGGCGGGGGAGAGATGGCAGGGCCATTGACTTCAAAGAGCAGAGATGACCTGGGATGGGGAGAGCACAGGCTGGCCAGACCTGAGTCCCCTGCACCCGGCTTATATGTTGCAGTATGCTTTCCCTATTCGGTCTGCCCAGCGCCACTGCCTCCTTCTCTTGGAGAGTTCCCCCTGTGGTGAAGGGCGAGGTTCCCAGTCCCAAGAGAGACCCATGACCCAGGCAGAGCCAATCAGATAGGACCTCACCCTCTGACTGAAATAACTGAATCCAAAAATGGGCAAAGACACCAACCATCAATCAGAGTCCTTTTCTGAGATTTGTGGAAGCGGAGCTGCTTCAGGACTCTACCATGTTGAGGTCTGGAACCACCAATGGTCATATTTCCTGCCATATGGAGCCTGCCTGCCATGGAAGAGAGTGAAGCCAGCCCACAGACCAGCAGAGATGAGAGACAGGCAGAGAGAGCTCCAAGAACATCTTAGATCCCTGGATCAGGCTTCCTGAGGCCAGCAATGCCCTCGCTTCCCATGGTCCAGTTGGATGAGCCAAGAAATTCCCCTTTTCCTTAAACTAGTTGGGTTGGACTTCTAAAACCAGTGACCAAGGAGCTCTGGCCGACGCACAGGCACGACTTCCCGTGTGGAGAGCACAAAGAGATGTGTCCTGCATGCATAGGACAGAGTCATCTCAGTGGCCACAGATGCCTCACGATGTTCTGGGACGTGCATGGGCCAACATGCCAAGGAGAGACAGACTGTGCTGGAGCAAGCAGCGGAGGGACCAGCGAGGTCTCCACACACAGGACAGACAGGAGGCTGACTTTTCAGATGGGAACTGCACGCCTTTCAGTTGTTTCAATTTTTGAACAGTGTATATTCAAACTAATAATAGTAACACAAAACTCTGTGCAAAAGATAGCATTTTCATTATAGAGATCAACGGTTAAAAAATAATCATGAGTTTTTTAAAAACCTACAGTAGACCCCACTGCACTGTGTTGGCCTCTGAAAAACCAACAAAGCATTTAGCAAACATAACTCATGTCACGCCCTGATTCAACAAGGGCTGCATGACACCGCCTTGTTCCGTGGGCACACGCACTGTGTGTTGGGGCAGGAACTTCTCCTCTTAATCTCGCCACAGTCCACCCACTGTGCAGGGCCAGCCTGGGTGCCAATCTCACAGGGCACGAAGGCTGTTGGGATTCAGCCGCTGGCTTCCACCCTGGTGCCATGAGGCACCCACTTTTCTACTTGTTGGGGTTCCATCAGGTCAACAGACCCGCGGGCCCCTGTACCAAGAGCCCTTCAGCAAGCTGGACTCCACAGCTCCTTTCCACTCTGTTCATTAAAACCGCCACCGCCTCGGCTGGGCTGAGCCAGGGTGCCCACAGCTGGGCCACGCTCCCTTTGCTGTGAGCTGGATTCTGAGAGGCAGCTGGGTCATCGGCGGCACTCTCAGCACCGGCTCATCACGGCACACACTCCCCACGGTAACACTCAGGCCTCTTTTTAGAAACCCTCTTTTCTCCCTGCTGAAAACTATCCAGAAGATGTCTATCCGACTCAATCAATTAACAGGCTCTCATTACACACCTTTCCCAAAGTTCAAACATCCATAATGAGAAGCTGTTAAAAGCGGAGAGTTGACCTTGTGTTTCCCTGAGACACGTGCTAAATTAGGTTAAACATTTAGCTTGAAGGAAAAAGGCAAGCCACACTTACCCAGAAGGAGAAAAGGTCAGAAGGCCACCCTGCTGTGAGCCTGACACAAAGCCTTGGGATGCAGAGGCTGTGGTTTCCAGGGAATGGGCACCCGCCTGCGTGTGGCACCCCTAACATTCTCGCTGCTTTATACTCACGCTCCATGAGCGCTGGCTAAGGGGACTTGCGCTCTCCTCGTTAAAGGAAAGAACACTGGCAGCATTAAAATAAAATGCCCTGTGATTTGCAAAATCATAACGGTGACCAGCAGGCTGAAACAACCTGGCACAAGGCGGGGAGAGGATGGGGAGCTCCTGAAAGATAAAGGCTTAGCAGGCCCGTATGGATGCCGAGATTTTGTTTGTTTTGCTGACTTCCACCAAGCGGGATTTGTTCCCTCCTTGCCTTCATTCCCAATTCTGTATTTTGCAGCTATCACTTGATGGCGGTTTGGAAGCCCAGCAGATTTAATTCAGGGCCATGTTGTCCCCTAAAATATCATGTTGTCCAACTCAGCGCAGAAACTGGGAGGCCCTGGGATCGGCAGGGTTTATGAGGTCAACAAGCTAACGTGCTATCAAGGAGAACCTCGGTTTCTGACACTTGAGGCCAGAACTCACAAAAGAAAAGAAATTATTTCCTAAGCTTCAGTGCACCTGATTTGGAGGGAATATGGAAGGCTGAGAAGCAAAAGTTCTTAATCCTAGGATTCCAGGCCTGTGAAAGAAAGCTGGGCTAGAAAGGTGAGATTCTTGTGTTCTTACTAACTGTAAAAGCATCTAGTATGACAGCCCATAATTGTATAGACGTGGCCATTCCATAGGGCAAATTATGTCCATTAAAGGGAACTATTATCAAAACATAGCACAGCACAGTTATCAACTACACGCCTACAATCCTGGCTCCGGACTCCAGCATTCAAAGGGGTTATCTGAGCATGGGGAAAATCTCTTGTTAGGGGGAGCCAGAGGGAGTTCCAGAATTCCAGACCCACCGTGAACAGTACCATATCAAAAACACAACACCATATGGAGAAATCACGGGCATCACTTAGTTGGTCAAGTCTAACAGCGTCATCTGATGTTACTCATTACACACACACCTCCGCCCTGTCTCAAAGCAAACAGGACTCTCCCCGGTTACTCACCGAGACCACCCTGACAAATGTCTGTGCGCGTGGCTCCACCAACGATGAACTGAGGGCTGGAACACAATTCCTGAAAGCAATTGGGGACAAAACACGAGTCACAAGATGATGCAGCGATGGTGGCCGCAGGGTAAAGGAACTTTAGAGTCATTGAATTCACACCTGGAAGAAACCCGGGAGATCATCTCCGGTGCATAGCTCATTTTATTGCTGGGGACCCTGAAGCCCAGAGAAGGGGGGAGTCCTGCCCACAGTCACACAGCCAGGGGGTGGCAGAGCAGGCGCTGGAGCCCACAGCCCCAAAGAGAGCAGTAATTTTAAGACTATACATACTGTGTGGGTGCGTGGGTGTGAGAAGGTGGGGGCGGGGGGTGTGGAGAAAGGCAAAGGCTGAGATAATAATGTGGTGGAATATGATCTCACCCATTCAGACAACACCCTTGTTTACAGACAGAAGATTAGAATAATGGTTAGCACTCTAAAAAATGCTACTTACTCTGTGGACACTCACTAAATACTCGAGTAAGTGATGACGCTCCCACGTGCTGGTGGAGACACCAAGGTGTCAGGAAGTGCCAAGTGCAGAGAGAGCTCATCTCTGGGATGCTCACATATCTGATCTGCGCTCCCTCCGCTCCCCTGCCTCAAAGTGCCCTCTGCCCACAGGCCACCTCATGGTCCCAGAGCTCTACGGGGCACAGTGAGGCATTCCCAGATATTCCTTCTTTGCTTACCCAGCAAGGATTTATTGGGTGCCCATTCTAGACACAGTGCTCATTGCTCCACAGCAGGCAGAAGAAAGAGGGGAGCATGGTGAAATGAAGAAAGGAAAGTGTGTGGTTCTTGGCCTCAAAGTGCTTTCAGTCTATGTGGGAAACCAAGACGGACATTCATGAGAAAATCAGACAAAGATCTAGTGCGTGAGGATGGAATGTGGACCACATATGCAACGGGAGACAAATGAGAACTACCCAACAGGGATGACGTACGGGAGACTTAGAGGGGAGAGGGGAGCTGTGCATTAGAAAGGCAGTGTTTAGCAGCAGGCGATGGATTGGTTCCCGAAGGAGGGGTGGCTCTGCCCAGCCACCGGGCCAACAGTTAGCGGGAAGGGTGGGACCTCAAGGGACAAAAACAGAGGTGAGCCCACATTTCACCAGAGGCATCCTGGGTGGTACTATACCAAGGACTGTCTGACCATAAAGAGCGAGAAGCATTTCCACCTTGCTCTGTAGAGAGGAAGAAACGGTGGCTCAAAGAACGCAAGCAGGCACGAGGACGGGCTGAAGGCAGATATGGGGCTGTGACCTGGGATTCTGCGGTTGTGCTGTGTGACTGGAGCCTTCCAAGCGGCAGCCCTACAACCCTAAATAAAGCTGCAGCTCCCGCCTAAACGGGAGGGAACGACGCCTTCGGGCTGGCATTTTTTTTTCTTCCAAGTATTAAAAAAATTCGTTAACTTGTTTCTTATTGGAAAAGTAATACATGCACAAGAGTAAAAAATTATCTAACAGTAAATAATGCCGTAAAACAAAAAATTGCTTCCACTTCAGATTCCTCACTGTTAACATTTCTCTTTTTTTTATAAAGAGCTTGGTACTCTAATCTCTTCCTAGTGAGTCTTTTTTTTTTTTTTCAAGCTTTTTTTGGCAAGGAAGAGTGGCCCTGAACTAACATCTGTTGCCAGTCTTCCTCTATTTTTTTTCTTCCCCAAAGCCCCAGTACATAGTTGTATATCCTAGTGGTAAGTCATTCTAGTTCCTCGATGTGGGACGCCGCCTCAACACGGCCTGATGAGGGGTGCCATGTCCGCACCCAGGATCCAAACTGGCAAACCCTGGGCCGCCGAAGTGGAGCACATGAGCTTAACCACTCAGCCACAGGGCTGGCCACTATTAACATTTATGTGTCCTTCCAGAAACTGTCTTTGGATATGAAAGCACGTTTACATACATGTCCATTTTTTATCACATTTCTCTTGCGCATCTTTTCTCAGCACCTGCAGAGCTTTATAATTTCATGATAAGTACCACGAGTTATTTAGCCAGTCCTCCAGGGATGGCTCTTTAGTTCTATTTGTCCATTTGTTTCAGTCTTTTGCAATCTCTAGTGGCAAAGAGAGAAGCATCATTAGCCAAACTAGGTGTTCTAAAAGTGGGCAGCTGGGGCCGGCCCTGTGGCCTAGTGGTTAAGTTCGATGCGCTCCACTTCGGTGTCCCGAGTTCAGTTCCCAGTTGCAGACCTACGACACCTGGCGGTGGCCATGCTGTGAAAGCATCCCACATATAAAACAGAGGAAGATTGGCACAGACGTTAGCTCAGGGCGAATCTTCATCAACAACAACAAAAAAAAATGTGGGCAGCTGCAAATTCTAATCCCAGGCGCTCCCAGTCTCCAACCTGTCATCTCTTGGTGAACAAAAGGTGGAGAGATATGAAAAATTAATAAATAAAAAGGGATGGATAAAAAATACATTAACTTAAATTTTGTTTTAAAAAAGGAAGAGGTAGCAGGTCCAACCTGGTGGCATAGTTGTTGAGTTCACAAGCTCCACTTCAGGAGCCCTGGGTTCATGGGTTAGGATCCTGGGTGTGGACCTACACATCACTCATCAAGCCATATTGTAGGGACGTCCCACATACAAAATAGAGGAAGATTGCCAGAGATGTTAGTTCAGCGACATCTTCCTCAGCAAAAAGAGGAGGATTGGCAACAGATGTTAGCTCAGGGCCAATCTTCCTCACCAAAAAAAGGAATAGGTTGCATCATTGAGAAGGAAGGGAAGAGGGCACACCCTACAGAAGTTTGGCGGAATCTCTCTCCTCAAAAACCCTCTTGAATGGTCCCCTGATGTCCATCACCCATTCACCCATCGGTCTCCTGAAGTCTGGCTTCTACATCCACAGCTCCATGAAATTCCTGCCACCTGAGTCCCCAGTATCAGAGACGGAGCACTGCTCTATGCCAGTCTGACTGCTCCCTAACATTCGCGACTACTGCCTAGTCCCTCCTTCTGAAAACTCTCCTCTCTTGGCATCTGTATCTTTACTTGTTCTCGACTTTCTCCTCACCTCTCTAAATACTCTTTCTCAGTCTCCTTCAAGGGTCCCTCTGCCATCCCTAAGAACCAGGGAACCCCTGGGCCCAGGCCTTAACCCCCTGCAATGATGCCATTCCATACAGCAGGAACATGCCCCAAGCATTCTCTCTTGGTGACATCATGCAAACCCGTGGCTTCAGCTCCTAACTACAGAGTATGACGATGCTTCCAAAATCACCCCCCTGAGCTGTGGATTCAATTACCTGTGTCACACTGTTCACAGGATATAAGCTCATTAGACTCGTGTCTGACAGGTCTACCAAGTGCTGCTAAAACGTTGAGATTGGTCTGGAGGACAGAGTGGCTCGCAAAGGCTGGAGACAATTTCAAGTGTTATAACCAGAATGGTGCTAAGTAGTCTATAGATAGATGGAATGTTCATTTTGGTACATGTTCTTTATTAGCATAATTCAAAAGGCAACCCCCCTCCAAAGAAAAAACCACCAAGCAATGCCAAGACTGAAATGTCGTATGACTCTTTCAGGGGCCACAAAGAGACCTCAGCTTTGCAAGGAGATTGCACCTCAGCATTATGCCTGAAGAAATTCCCGAAGTCTTCTCTCCCTTGCCAGCTCTCCACTGGAACATAGACCAGTGATACAAAGGACTTTGGCAGCCAAAGAGGTTTCATAGAGGCAGACCTCTTCGAAGAGGCAGGCTCCCACCTCCCACACTCGGGACACTATGTTTTTCTTCCTTAATAACAACCACATCTTTTTAATAATGATGTTTACTGTTACTCAGGTAAGGATCTCAAAACAGTCCATACACACAAATTACTCGACTCATTTCAGCCTCCAATGAATGGACGCAAGAGAAACACGGGCATCAGTTAAGAATCCAAGGTAGGAAGCGGCTTCAGTCGCACATTCAGTGACAACGGCCACGTGGAAACATTGCTCCCAGGGCATCAGCCCACATCTAACAGCCTGTGTTTGGCATTGCAGGAGCTCTGACTGCACTGTTTCAGGAAACCCAGTGACACCGCCATCTTCATCGTCATCACCGTCGTTGATGCCCACATTACTTAGGCCAGCACTCCCGTCCCTCTAGGATCTGGCCCCATTTGACATTTGCAGCCTCATCTCTGTTCCCCACAATGTTCTCTCTCCCTTAATGACAATGGGCCACTGCCTTCCTCTGCATACGCTTGCTCTGAGTACACTCCCGCAAGCTTCCACAGTCTTTGCTCACACCTGTGCCCTCGTGGCCTCTATCATGGCCCTCTTCTTTCACCAAGTGCAGCTCGAACGTCTGCAGTAATGAACCTACTCCAACTCCACGGTCAAATTGAACTCCATCTTCCCCTGAACTCCCATACATTTTGTTCATATTTATATTTCACTCTCCGGACATTCTGTCTTGTGATAACAGCTCACTACAGTATTGAGCATTTATTATGTGTCAGGCACTGCACTCGACCCATTCTCTCATTCAAGCTTCCCAACAACCCAATGAGGTAGGTAACATTATTATTCCCATTTTATAGATGAGGAAACTGAGGCCTGGGGAGATACTTACCCATGGCCACACAGGGGGTAAATGCCAGAGAGGGAACCAGAATCCTGACCCACCTGACGCCTAGGCCCAAGCTCTTAGCCACTTGGCTGCCTGTCATTTGTCCACCTGTCTCTCTTGACTACCTAATGCTCCGTGGAGACTCCGCACTAGCACCTGCATGTGACCTGCACTCAGTAAGTCAAGGCTGAATTGGAAAGTCCAAAGTCATGAATCCAAGAGGCAGCAGCTGGAAAACGAGTGGAAGCCCCAAACTGGGGCCTCTCCCCCTCATCCTGATCCTAGTCCCAACAACTCAACCCTCAACGTTTCTCTTAACCTGGGTTGGCTGCTCCATGAGTCCTTACTATGCACTTGACATTGCCTCACTTCCCTCTCTATGTTTCTCCTTATGATTAATAAACTGCTTAATTGCCAAAAATTGGGCAGAGACAAATATCACTGACTGGCTGGCACTAGGGCCCACGCACAGTGGCCATCCTTTAAACCACAGAGGCCTGGGCTGGGCATGGACCCAGGATGGTGGGGAAGCCGGGAAGTGAGAATGCAGAGAAGCAGCAGCTAAGAGCCTCTGCTGACCTCACACGGCCAGCTATCTTGTTTGTGATAAGATTGTTGCTCTTCCACAATGCTAGTGGAAAAAAATTCCTTAGCATCTGAATAGCCAAAAGTTTATCCTGAGAACCCCAGCTTGACCTTGAGATCTTCAATCTGGGCAAATTTGTCTTCCAAACCTTGGGACAGGGCCCAAGCAAAATTTTCACTTGGCAGCTTAAAAACAGGCAGAAATGGGGGCCAGCCCCATGGCCTAGTGGTTAAGTTTGGCACACTCCACTTTGGCAGCCCGGGTTCAGTTCCTGGGTGTGGACCTACACCACTCATGAGCCATGCTGTGGCAGCAACCCACATACAAACTAGAGGAAGATTGGCACAGATGTTAGCCCAGGGCAAATCTTCCTCAGTAGAAAAAGGAAAAAAAGCAGGCAGAAACACTCAGCAGGGGCAGGATGTCAAATTTTATGATTTCAGAAAACAGCTAAGTACCAAGATTTATTTAGTATTGAGAGGGCAAAAACATGTATATGTACATAGTTAGCCCATCCCATCTCCTTTCTCCACAAAGGCAGGTAAAAACTAACATCTTTGTGGGAACCAGGATCATAAGAGGCACATTTGGGCAGTTGGCGTACAGCCCCTAAGACTAAGGAAGTAAGGAGTTACCCTCAAAAGGAGTAAGTGAAACAAGAAAGCAAAGAGTCCAATTTAAAAAAGGGCAAAGGACTTGAATAGGCATTTCTCCAAAGAAGATGCACAGATGGCCAAGAAATACATGAAAAGATGCTCAACATCACCAGTCATTAGGGAAACGCAAGTCAAAACCACAACGAGATACCACCTCACACCCATTAGGATGGCCACTATGAAAAAACAGAAAATAACAAATGTTGGCAAGGATGTGGAGAAATTGGAAGGCTTGGGCACTGTTGGTGGGAATGTAAAACGGTACAGTGGTTATGGAAAACAGTATGTTGGTTCCTCACAAAATCGAAAGTAGGGGCCCGCCCCGTGGTGGAGTGGTTAAGTTTGCACACTCCGCTTTGGCGGCCCAGGGTTTCACCAGTTCAGATCTTGGGTGTGGACATGGCATGGCTCATCAAGCCATGCTGAGACAGCATCCCACATAGCACAACCAGAAGGACCCACAACAAAAATATGCAACTATGTACTGGGGGGCTTTGGGGAGAAAAAGGAAAAATAAAATCTTTAAAATAAATAAATAAATAAATCAAAAATAGAATTACCATATGATCTAGCAATTCCACTTCTGGGTACATACACAAAAGAATTGAGAGTGGGGTCTCAAAGAGATATTTGTCCACCTGTATTCACAGAAGCATGATTCACAATAGCCAAAAGTAGAAGCAACTCAAGTGTCCACTGATGGATGAATGGATTTTAAAAAATAAGCAATGGAATATTATTCAGCCTTAAAAAGGAAGGAAATACTGTTACATGTTACAACATGGATGAATCTTGAGGACATCATGCTAAGTGGAATAAGCCAGTCACAAAAGGACAAACACGGTATGATTCTACTCATAGGAGTTTCCGCCTAGAGTGGTCAAACTCATAGACACAGAAAGTAGAGTGGTGGCTGCCAGGGGTTGGAGGAAGGAAGAATGGGGAGTTAGTGTTGAAGGAGTACGGAGGTTCAGTTCAGGAAGATGAAAAACGTTTTGGCGATGGTTGGTGGCAAGAGTTGCACAGCAATGTAAATGCTCTTAGCATCACCGAACCGTGCACTTGAAAATGGTTAACGGTAAATTTTATGTTCAGTGTATTCTACCACAATTAGAAAGGAAGGAAGAGAGAAAGGAGGGGAGAGGGAGGGAAGAAAGCAATGCGTGAACTCAGCGATGCGCCTCATTTCTGGACACCCCAACCATCCTGCAGACCATGAGCGGCTCTTGGGAGAAAGCAGTGCAGCGCTTAGCAACAGGCTGACTTTCCCAGGTTCCAAGGCACGTCCCTGACAGAAACAGAATCAGGGTCATCACCACCTCAGGAGTCTGTTTAATAATCTGTAACATCTTAGAGGATAAAACTGTGTCCTTTGACAAACCTCGCGACGTGTGAGCACGAGCCTGGCCAAAGGCAGCCGAGTGATAATTCCTAATTGATGATGGAGGATAGGGAGGGTGAATTTTGACAAGCATTATTTATTCATCTGAAAACCCCAAACTATGGGAATACCTCAATTCCACATTAATCAGCTTCTACTACCTTATCCTCTGGATTTTACTGCATCTCCTTTCAAATAAAGGAGAAAAAAAGAGGCAAAGGTTAACTGACACCTGACTTTGGTCACAAAGTGAAATCTTCCCCTTCCCCCTTTTCCATCCCCCACCCCCCCACACACCCAGCTCCCGCCCCCAAGCCGCTTGGGATCCTTCGGTTCCACCAGTGCATCCTCCTCCCTAAGTCTTCCCAAGGTTGGCTCCTAGCATCCCAGGTTCCCAGGCCCACGGTCTACACCTCTGTTGAGGACCTCCTTCACCCTGCTCAGGGTGTCAGTCCTTCACTCACGTGCCCATCTCCCCATACTCTCCACCAGAGCTGAGACCCCCGCTCCCGCCTCGGATTCTCCCCGACCACCCTCCCAGGCTGTACATAGCCAACGCCTGGCGCAAAACTGACGCCTGAGAAACCGTCTGTTGAAATGAAATGTGGCTATCCACTCTCGCAACTGGAATATAAAACCATGATTCCCAACCTTGATTTTGCCAACACCCCAGGGTGATCCATACGGCGTGAAGAGGAGGATGGGAAGATGGGCCACGGTGGGCAGGAGGGAGGCAGGGCACAGGAGTCCTTCTCCGAGGTGGAAACTGCTGTGCAAAATTGACAGGACGAGAACAGAAGGCTTGAGAGAGCTGGAGCTAAAGGATGATTCTGACCATGTCCAAGGAATTATTCTCTCCTTGTCCTCCCTTTTCAACCACTGCCAAGAAATAGGTACTATGACTTGATTTCCCCATCATGGTCTAGAAGACAGAAGGCGTCCCGGCCAAGGTGTTGTCTTATGAGAGCTTTGCTGTGCCAGACATGGAACAGAGCACTTCATATGATTGTTTCAATTCTCACAACCACTCTGCGTGAAGGAGGCTATGTCGCTTGACGGGGTCACATCGTAGTAGGTCATGGTCTAAACTTGGGAGGACAGTTCTCCATTCCCCGCCCCGGAGCTTTGGGTGGCATCAGTGACAGCACTCAGGAGCCCCCGACTTCCACCTGCATTCACAGACCCACAACCCCCACCTCTCTACTCCCCAGCCCTGATAGAACAATGACATTGCGTGACCTTAACCCACTCTGCACCTTTCGAGAACAACGTCCCAATTCACCCCACGACTGCTTACATCTAGCCTTGGTTGTTCCACAGTGCGCTGGCCCAGGGGGCCTCTGCAATAACTACCACATATTCTGTGCCTATTACGTGCCAGGCACTCTGCTCTGAGCTTTACCACTAGTCCTCATACCAACTCTGAAAAGTAAGGTGCCAGTAAGACCATTTCACAGACGAGAAAACTGAGGTTCACAGAGGTTACCTGTCCAAGGTCACACAGGCAGAGCCAGGATTCAGATCTAACTTGTCTGGTTCTGAGGCCCATGCGTGCTCTTCCCTCTTTACTCACAGCCTCTGAAAAGGCAGTGGGGGGTTGTTCTAGAATATGGGATCCAGGAACTTAGGATCCACAGCCGTGACTCCTCCCTCGACCACTCTGACCAGAAGCGAGGGCTCTCAGTCCTGGGTGAACCTCCACAGCAAGCCCATCTCCTTACCGTGGGCCGCCTCCAGACAATGCCTTGAGTTTCGGGGGAGCCTGGGCCCAGGTCCTTGTAGCCCAAGGCTGATGGGCATGCTGGGAACTCTGGGTCCTTAAATAGGACGCCTGAGTCCAAGCACTGTTGCCTCAAGGTCTCAAAGTCCTGGTCCAAGTACTTCATGGCCTTCTGGTTGGAACCAAGCCCTTCAGCTGCCGCCCGCCGCCTGGATACTCCAGCCGCCAGGGCTGCCATGGCCGTGGGCTCTGTGGGGTAGACACGCGGGCAGAGCTGCTGAGTGCTCTGGGACCTGCCCCACTGGGAGGGAGCTATAAGGCAGCATGGAGGGAGGTGGAGCAGGTAAACATTTCACCAGAGGCCCCGCTCCCAAGGGAGGCAGTGAGTCATGGCCAGGAGCAAATATGTGCCCAAGGTACAATGACTCTGCCCCACCTTCCCCTTCCGCCTTTCAGCAGATAATTCAGATGCTGAGAACCTCCCGGGCCATTACCCTAAGAAATCCATTAGGATCACAGCCATCCCCACCTCTTTGCAAGACCTGCCTGCCTCTCACGGGCCCCACTGGCTGAGAACGAGCAGGCCTGTCTTATAGCTGGAGGCAAGTAATCGCCAAGGAGTTGGAGAAGTGGTTCCGAGCAGGACGAGGGCAGGGGTTAGAGCGGTCTCCTTTCCTTCCAGAAAAGTTTGGTTCCATATTTCCCAGGAGGACAAAAACATCGGAGAAGGGTAATTCACCGAGCAGATCAGAGTAAGTCGGACTGGAGGCTGTTTCAAGTGTGAAGGAAGGTTTCGGCCTCTGACTGCCGTCGTTTCTATCCCAGCTCCACCAGTCATTAGCTCTGTCACCTCGGGCAAGTTATCTAACCTCGCTTCCCCTTAATTTTCTCATCTGTAAAGTGGAAGCTAATAGTAGGACCTGCCTCATAGGGTTGTTTGGAAGAGTGATGAGACAGGACGTGTAATTTGCTTAGACTTGTGCCTAAGAAGCACTCGGTACACGTCAGCTCTCACATTCCTAGGAATCAGGACCAGAAAGAGAAGGTCTGGGGATCAGGAGTCATGGGTTCTAATCTCAGAAGGGAAATGGGCTCTGCCACCTTAGATTAATCACTTTTCTCGGGGCTCCGGAACCCAGGCCTGCTGTACCCGAAGGATGTGGACCACATAGTGATTTTTGAACTTTATGGCATGTGGCAGCTGAGAAAATGGTCCCCCAAAGATACTGAGTCCCGGAGCTGGCCCCGTGGCCAAGTGGTTAAGTTCATGCACTCTGCTTTGGCGGCCGGGGTTTTTGCCGGTTCAGATCCTGGGCATGGACCTAGCACTGCTCATCAAGCCACGCTGAGGCGGCATCCCACATAACAGAACTAGAAGGACCCATAACTAAAATATAACTATGTACTGGGGGGCTTTGGGGAGAAGAAGGAAAAAAAAATAATAAAAATCTTTTAAAAAGAAGAAAGATACTGAGCCCTAATCTCTGGCACCTGGACATAGTACCTTATTTGGAAAAAGGGTCTTTGCAGATTAAGTTAAATTAAGGATCTTGAAATGGGGAGACTATCGTGGCCTTAAATGCAATTACAAGCGTCCTCATAAGATGGAGGCAGGGGGAGACTTGACAGCAGCCCAAAAAAGAAAACAGTGTGTCAGAGGCAGAGATTGGAAGGACGCTGCCACAGGCCAAGGAATGCCGGCCGCCACCGGAAGCTGGAAGAGGCAGGAAGGAATTCTCCCCCAGAGCTGCGGAGGGCGTGTGCCCTTCCCCGTACCCTGCTGTCAGCCCAGTAAAACTGATTTTGGACTTCCGGCCTCCCAAACGTGAGACAACATATTCTCCGTGGCTTTAAGCCACCACGTATATGGAAATTTGTTACAGCAGCCACAGGAAACTAACACAGCATGTGTAAGAATCAGTCCCCGGAGCACTTGCTTAAAATGCTGATTTCCTGAGGCCCCAGTGTCACCCACGGAAGTCCCTACGACATTTCCCACGTCTAAGCCTTTGTTTTTAAGTTGTGCTTGCTTATAGGAACCAAGGCAGAACAATGCCAGATGCCAAACCACACAACCGGTCCAAATCAGAAAGGTCCAGGTTAGCGATGGGTGCCGTGTGCAAAAGGAAAGATGTTCAAAAGGTGCCGTGTGCAAAAAGGGAAGATCTGTGCATGCCCCAAATGCACCCCCCCCCAAGCAATGACGCAGAGATGCCCCCTCCCCACACCCCATAAGAACTCTGCCCACCTGCCCTTGGGGAGAAGGTGTTTGAGAGCACAGCACTGCCTCCTCCATCTGTCAATCAAAGAGCAAAGTTTCTGCTCTGCTCTTATGAGCTCGGTCTCATTCTATTGCCATGAGCGGCTCCAGGCAAAAGGACTCACTTGTGGGTCACAGGTCCCTTAGGGCTCTGTAACACTACCACTGTTCCTTCTTCCCCCAAAAGTTCGGATTCAGCGGTCCGAGGTAGGACCCAGGAGTCTGAAGTTTTTAAACTATTATCCCAGAGATGATGCTGATGCAGGTGTCCACGGACCACACCCTGAGAAGCTCTGGACCGGCTGACCTCTGAGGCCCCCCAGCTCTGACCTCCTAAGCCAGTGACAGTCTATGTGTAATGCAGTTAGCTAGGTGGGCAGGTCTGACAAGCAGAAAGAAGGGTCTGCTCCCCAGGCCTCCAGGATAAAATGTGGTTTTTCAGGTTTTGCCAGAAATTCAAGGCCAAAATGACCTTCAGAGGCTCAAGCTAGCATCAGAAGACTTGGCCTTGCCCTGGCCCCTCTGGGAGCCCCCCCTTCATTTCCTCCACACGACTGTCCCTTGATTCAACGTCTGTCCCAGCGATTAAGCTCATCCAGGGTTCACAACTGTGAACATTTCACCAGCCCCCAAAGTTGCCCCTGGTCTCACTTGGGGCCGCCCCATCCTCCTTTAAAACCAGAACCACGGCTCCGTTCAATCGACACAGAATCCTCTCAGGCCTATTAGATTCCTGGAGAACTCTAGTAAGTCTGTGTGGGAAAGGAAAGGAAATATTTATTTTTACTTTTGAATCTACCGCCTAATTCTTTGAAGTTTGGGATTGATGCTCATGAGTGATCTTACTCTACTTGGAGTGGCCATTTCAAACACAAATCTGACCATGTCATTTCTGAGCCTCAAGCCTCCAATGGCTGGCCATTCCCCTGGGTGGGGGGTGGGGGGAATGTCTGCACAGCCTGTAGGACCCTAAGCAGACCCACCTTTCCCCACCTCCCCACCTCCTGCCTCCTCCCCACATCTCCTCCCTCTCTGCTCACCTCCAGGAACGTCTGCTCTCTCCCACTCCAGAGCTTTGCACCCGCTGTGCCCTCTGCCAGAAATACTCTTCTCCCCACATCCACCCCCTGCTCATCCTTCAGACCCCAAGTGCCCCAGGGAAGGCTTTCTGGACCCCCCTAGACAAAGCCGTGCCCCTCTTATGTGCTCTCATAGCAACCTGCCCTGCCATGCCCAGCAATCATTTAATTAATGCCCCTCCACCCCACCAGGCTCTGATCGCCACAAGGACAATTGTCTGTGTTGGTTTTGCTCATCGCTGTATGGCTGGAGCCTAGAAAGCTCCTGGTGCATAGTAGGGACTGAATAAATGTTTGTTGAGTGAATAAACACTCACGGGTCTAAGCCACTCAGGGTTGGATATACACACACCAGGTATAATGGACCTGACACCTTCAGGAAAGGTCATGAGTGAATCGACAGGATCCCATGGAATTGTTTTCTCCAGCTCCATTCTTCCCTGTGCTTCCCCAAAACATTCCCTTTAGACTGAAATGAGCAAGCCCTTCCTCCTTCCAATCGCAGGTAGGCGCAGCTGGCGATTTTCCCTCTCCATAAGGGACTCCTTTGGGGTTAGCAATCTCCTTCCCACCCCACACGCCTAAATCGCCTCCCTCGTCACATCCAGATGCTGCACAAACAAACCCTTCCTCATGCAGGCAGACGGGGCTGAGCCTGCAGATAGAGCTACCCCTCACCGAGTCGTGAAGAGAAGAGCCAGCGCGGTCAGGAGCGGTCCCTCCTGAGCAGGCAGCGAACAGCCCTGCGCCCGCTGGCTCTGTCAGCCTGAATTGATGTCTCCCCAGCCTCACACCCGGACATCCACAAAAGCTAAGACTGGCTCCCTTGCAGGAAGCCCAGGATCCGTTACAGAGGCTGATGAAGCCGAGCAGAAGCACACCTGGCGGCACCCACATAACGAGACCTGTTCTCGGCAAACAGCGCGGGTACACGCTGCTGCGCCGGTGCGCCCACCAGCCACCAGCCGAGCCAGAGCGCTGAGCTTTATCCACAGACTGCTCCTCCTCGGCTGCAAGGACCAAGGCTGCACCGTCCCCTCCGCAAGGAAGAGAAATAGTCCAAAGGCCCAGGTGTGCTTTGCGGACCACTAAAGTTTGCAAAGCTTGTTGTCGCGCATAACTGCAACTTTGGAAAGGGCCGGGTGAAGGCTGGCGGCAGCATTCTCCCTCCTGGGCCTTCCCATTGCGGAATTCCAAGGCAAGCAGGGGATGAAGCCGACGTCAAGAGGATTGAAGGTTCTCAGACCTCGCTGATGGGGATGTAGCGTGGTGCAGCCGCTTTGGAAAATAGTCCGGCAGTGCCTCAAGATGCTAGACACCAAGATACATAGTAACTCCAATAATCATTCCACTCCGGGAAATTGAAAGAGAATTGAAAACCTAAGTCCACACAAAAACTTGTGCTCGAATGCTCATAACAGCAATATTCCCAGTAGCCAAAAAGTGGAAACAACCCAAATGGCCATGGCCGGATGAATGGAGAAACAATACATGGTATATCCATGAAACTGAATATTATCCAGCCATAAAAAGGAATGAAGTACTGACACACGCTACAACACGGATGCTCTTGGAAACACTATGCGAAGGGAAAGAAGGCAGTCACAAAAGGCTCCATATCATACAGCTCCAGTTATAGGAAATATCCCGGATGAGCAAATCCATAGAAACAGAAAGCAGACCATCCATTGCCAGGGATAGGGAAGAGAGGGGAACTGGGATTGACTACAAACAGGTACAAAGTTTCTTTTGGGGGTGATAAAAATTTTCCAGAATTAGATAGCAGTGATGGTTGCACAGCATAGTGAATGTATTAAAAATCACAGAGTACTTTAAAATGGTGAGCTTTCTCTTACGTGAATTGCATCGCAATTAAAAATTAAAGAAAATAGTATTAAAAAGAAGAAGCCCTGCCCTGTTGTGATCCCAGCGTTCATTATTGGCCTCTAAGGAAAAGATTGGCTCCCC